CCTTCAGCTTTACCGGATGGTGGCCGCTGACTGCCTCGGTGGAGTGTCCGCTGTGGGGGATGGGACTGTACTGCTTCCTTCCCCTTCTGAGATCCCGTGCTCGGCCCAAGGATCAGTGTGGGCTTGGCTGGCGGGATTCCACCTAATGGCCCATCCTCTTTCTTTATACAGAAAATTTCCAAAACTTCTTCTTTACACGGAACCGCTGATTCTCTGCTGCTCTCTCTTCCCGTGGTAACCAATGCAGCTTCCCTGACAGGAAGTGTCTGCAACTTCTCCAGAGCCTCTGCTCCAGCTGCCACTTCAGCATGGTTATTGCCCTCAACCTGTGGCACCTCTTTTCAGCACTCACGGACAGTGCCTACCTTTATCAACATTCTAGCACAGCCTTGGTGTCTGGGGTTACTGGTCAGAACCAGATCCCCACAGCATCTGCCTTCTATTAAAGTATTTTTGAGTGGGATATAACAGGAAGTGCTGAAAAGAGCTCAATTTCACATGGGGACTTTAATCTGACCGTCACTGACCAGAACATAGCAGATTATTCCCTGTCTATGACATTCCAGTATGACAAAACTTCTGAAGCCAATGTCATGGTCCCTGTGTACCCACCACTATCTGCTAGGCTTGTCCAGGTGACATAGCCTGGACATAGCCTCTCACTACCCCACCAAGAAGGAAGCCAGGTCTACTACGATGATCAAAACACTCTGGGGACTCTGCTCTCTGGAGAACATTGGTCCCTGCATGCAATCAAATGGCTCTATGCCATATGCAGGAAGTAGTGCTGCTGCCCCTCAACCAGAAATGGTGACATTGCTGAAGGAACTTCAGCCCACAAATGTCCACCATCAGTCGCTACCTATGGGATCTACTACTCTGTGTCCACTCATTCTATCACAGAAACAAATTTTCAAGGTGAGTACAAACAGCAAGAAGGGGAAGGAATAAGATCACCATTCGAAAGGAGGGTGCAGTTTGCAGCTGGTAGCTGTGGGTCCACAGATCCCTATAATTTAAGTCCTGAGATATTAACCACTATCCTTGTTCAGCACTCCCAATCTCAGTGTCTGTAAGATGAGAATGCAGGACACCATAATGGCCATCCACCACACATTTAGGAGACCTCCAGGAGCACACTTATGGAGGCTACTTTTTACTGCTCTGGCAGATCAGTCCCCCTACCCAACCACATTATAAATTTATTTCCCTCATTTTACTTTGGTCTCCTAGGGAGACATTTCAAAACTTATCATGGTATTGAGAGTTTAATTTTTCCTTAATTTACTCAGGACTTAAACTTTGTATTCAGAGATGCTGTCCAAAGTAGGAATTCTAGGGACTTAGCATTGCTATCCCAATGATAGCCTCATGGTCTCAGACTTTCCCCTTCTCCATGGAATGTGCCGTGTGCTGGCGCCCAGGAAGCCATGTCCATAGTTCTCCAGTATCCAGTGCCAACACTGCTCAAGGAGTAGAAACGTAGAATTCTCTGTGGAAAACTGGTAAGTAAATAAATAGATAGATAGATAAATAAACAAATAAACAAAAATAACTAACTCTTTCCTGAACTGACTCTGTTTCTTTTTCCTTGACCTCCTGGGATACTCAGAGAAGATAACCAGGGTCAGTTTTTCTTTGCACCAAATCCTTCACAGAAGAAACCATGGACAAAATAGTGTAGTCATTTTGGATCTTTTGACTCTGCATTTGGTTACTTTTCAGAGTCCCTTGAATTGAACTGATTAATACCAAATGCTAAATTTAGTAGCCTATACCATCAAGTTCAGAGAACCTACTTTTGGTAGGCCCTAGTAATATATAATATATGTAAGGCACAGAATATATGTCCAAAAAAGTGTCTAATAACTGTGGAGAGATGGGAGATATACAATAAATGATAAATAGCATTCTGATAGTATGAAACATACAAGCACTAGGAATTTTGAAGAAGGAAACGATCACTGAATGGAGGCACTTAAAAGAACCCATTAATAACTGCTGAATGAATCCATGAAGAAAGTAGAACAGACTTGACCTGAGTATTAATGAGAAGGACTTAACAGTGGAGGGAAACTGCTTTAGGCATGAGCAAAGGAAGAGAATGGTACTCCACCTGGAGCTTTTCAAGAACCACGAGTGCACTGCAACAGGGCTGTGGTGGTTACCCATGCTGTGCATCAGAGGGGGCCCTGAGGTTGATCTCAGCATCTCTGGCTTCACAGACCCCCCAGAAATGCACATTAGCAGCCAAGGTTGTGAGGGATTCAGGGAACACAAAAGAGACTCAGGCTGTGGTGGGAAGGGCCTTTGCTTGTGCAGAATGTTTGACTTTCCACTGTGTGGGGTTGCAGGAGTGCCCCAGAATTGTGACAATCTGTCTTCTCCTTTGACAGATTAGAAATGAATTTACCATTCCCTACATTATCATCCCCAAGGAAAGTGCTGGGTATGATTATTGCAACATGGAGAACAAAGAACTTTTCCTCATATAGAATCAGCAGAGTCTCACCACACTGGGCTGGATTCATGTAAGCAAATCTGGGCTCTCTGAGGGTTCCTCACCTCTTCTATCTTTGTGTTATTAATATTGCTTGTTTCTTTTTTTGCACCGATTGTATATACTTTATTTATTCTTTTTCTCTCCTTTGGATACAGTTCTTCTATATCTGACTGCTTCTACTAAGAAATCGGCAACCTTTTCCAGAACCTCTAAAACTGCTGTTAGGTCCAGCTAGTCTGTCCTCTACAAAGACAATGGAATTCTCACTCAGTTTTACCTGTGCTAAATTCTGATAGCTACACAAAGAATGTAGAAAAAAAGAGATGAATCTTTCTGATTATCTCAGTCACAGTGGATCCTTCCCATTAGAACAGCTTCAGAACTTCCCTGAACACTTACAAAACATCCATTGATGTGAGGTGCCTGCTCAGATGGGCTTAGTGTGAACAACTCTCTGCTACTTCCCTATAGAAACTGTGTCAGAGATGGGTTGATCTTACTGGGGCTCTATCTCTGGTTGAGATACATTACAAGAAGAATGTATTTGGTATAAAAATGAAAAATTTATGAACATGAAGGTAAGACTTTCCCAACTTCCTGGACACTATCATCAGGGCACACTGCTTTCTACAGGAAGGGCTTTGTTCCTATCTAAGAGCCTTCCTCTCTGGGATGGCCTCTGCTGTAGGTCACAATTCCTTCTGCTCCTGAGCTGCATTCCTTTTAGTAGTTTCTCAGATGTGAAGCCTCTTCTTTTTGACCATCTAGCACAGCTCTTCTTTACATCAACCATTTCTTTCAAGTGCAGTATTCTCCACAGTCTGAAAGAGCCCCTGCAAAACTGGCTGCTGTGGCTTCTCTGGACATTTGAATGAAACCTGTGATAAGCAGTCCTCTAGASACAACCTTGGGTGGATTCATGAACTCTGTGTCTAAACTGATTCAATATGTAGGATGGCTGACAATACTGCAATGTCATTTGAGAGTAGCAGTACTTTCTTGWTGCACTTCATTTGGGATTTCTATGAGAAGGTATGTGACACATATGTAAATTATGACCGCCTTTAGTGGTACTATTTCCTCCTGGGATCTTCGACTCTGCACTCCTCAGCGTGGATACCAGTATACTGAACCAGCTCTGATATATTATGCACAGGTATGGTGAAAGTTTGACTGCTGCAAAGAAAATTGAGTTGGTACAAAAGGCAAAATCAGACTCCCTTTTCAGCAGCAAGATCTAGCTATGAACAATTTTATCATTACTTGACAACCATGGTTGGCTGCCTGTGCACATACAAACCCTTTGAGAAAGGAACATATATTGACCTCCAAATCCTAGAAAAACCTCTAGTAGTACAGTACTACGATAGTTTAAATTTAGTCTATTGCCCTTCTCTATTAAGCTTTGCTGCTTCCTTTTCTGGTGCAGGAAAGTACAGAAGAAAGGACAATAAACATGAGCTGTCTTCAGGGGAAGAAATGGAAGTAGTATTAAGAGCATTTATTCTCAGAAGGGTTACTTGGCTTGAATGTCTTTATAGGAAGTAATATTCATGATTCTTCTGTGCCATGATCACAGCTGTCCCCTTTTCAGACAGCATTACCACCATGCTAAATGTTTCATGAATATTGACATACTGAACATGCCAGATTAAAATCCTTCCTGAATTCCAGAGAGGCCAAGTGGCTCAACTTGTGTTTCACTATTCATTTCACTAACAGACTGCCATCTTCAAGGAGTACTCAGCATGACCTGTCCATGGCTTAGGAGGGCCTTGGTGTGGCTAACTATATTTCATGACTGAGGTTTTTAGCTTATTGGTGTCAACTGACCTCTTCACCATGCTCTGCCTTCCACCAAATTATACATGAAGAGAGACATCTGCTTCGTGGTGAGATTTTCCACATTTTTTAAGCTATAGGCTGCATGGATAGAAGAGAGCAGATATATATAGTGGTAGTTAATCCACAGACATCCTCATGCAGAATACTACCTCTGTGAAACCTCCGTGGATATGCCATTTTTTCTTATGTGAACAAGATCAGCAGTACCAAATTAATAACATACAACACATATGACTCTAAGAGCCCTGAGGAGCTGATGGCCTCTTGGGCCTTTAGTGGTAGGAATTTGTTTAGGGAAGAAAGAAAGAGGATGGGGGGATAATGAAGACATTTCTGTTTATACTGATGGGGTTTCATGAACCTATTTTATTTGTGTGTATAGGTGTATGTATATATCTACTTTTTAAATTTTCAGGCCTAAATAAACTAACTGCAACTTTACTTTCAAAAGTAATTCAGAAGCTTTTTATGAATTTCATATTAGCTCACCTATCTTGTTGAAAATATCAATTTTGCAGGATTGGGGTTGTATCTCAGTGGTAGAGCACTTGTCTAGCATGAAATATGAAGCTATAGTGTGAAGGTAGGACTAAAGAGAATTGAAGAAAAAGTAGAGAGACCAGTTAGGTTATTATCATGTTCTAGCACTGGGGTTTTATTCTCAGCACAGCAAATAAATAAATAAATAAATAAATAAAGACCATTAACATCTAAGAAGGTATTTTTAAAAAAGCATAAATTTTTGCTTCATTGCTACTGTATAACTATCTTGCTTTTAATAAAATTTACATCATTTGAGAGAAATGAACCTGAATTTATCTTTGTCTTAAGGGCACATCCTTATTGTTCTTTTTCTKGAACACACTAAAACAACAACTATTATTATTGGATAGTAGAAATCTCATTCATCCATTCGTGGATTGAATTAATATGTATTGAGTTCCTTACTATGTTCCAGGTATTCTTCGATGTGCTGGGTATACACCTATATCCCATACAAAAGTACCTGCTTTTATGGAGTTTACAATACATTGAAGAAGACAGGCAATAACAATATAAGCAATATATACTATCAAGTGCTAAGAAGAAAAAGCAGGGATTAGGGTCAGAATGTGGAGGACAGATAATCTCATAAGCATATGAGTCATTTGTCTAAGAAGGAACATTCTCCACAGAGATAAAGGCAAGTGAAAAGGCCCTAATATTAATTTATGTGGCATGTTTAAGTAGGAGCAGAGGCTGGTGAGGATACAGCATAATGATTAATAGAAAATAGTGGTAAGAACTAGAGGGAGAAAGGCAAAGATTAGTTTATGAAAGGTCCATTTACCCTGGTATGGATATATAAATAGAGGCCATTAGTGAGTTTGAGAAGAAGAGTGGCACAATTTGGCTTACCTGTGTGAAATATGAACCTATAGTGTGAAGGTAGGACTGAAGAGAATTTGAAGAAAAAGTAGAGAGACTAGCTAGGTTATTATCATATTCCAGGAAAAAGTCTTAGACTAGTCTCACAGATAATAGAAAAGTGGTTACATGTTGGATTCAGTCTCTATTTTAAAGGTAGAGAAGTTAGCATTTACTGATGGCTTGGATATTAGGAGGAAGAAAGAGAAGAGTAAAGAATGACTCCTAGATCTTCTTTTTTTTTTACCTGAACAACTAGGTGAATTCTGAGATAGAGATGAGGCATACTGAAGGAAGAACAGGTTCTCTGGCTTGTTTTCTCAGACTCATCGCACACGCACACAGACCACCTTTCTATCCAATGTCGACCTACACACTTAATTTTCCTACCAGATGATGCTGCTAGAGTCAACAGTTATTGTCTGCTACCCAAGTTTCAGGAGTGAGTACACAGGACTTGGTTCTGGGTGTTATAGGGAGGCAGTAGCAAAGAAAGTCTCAGAGCAAAACAACTCTATAATTGAGACTTCTTTAAAAAATATAAGGATCATAGTGCTGATTTGCTGTTTTCTAAAAGGCTTCTTGCAAGCCCCATATTCTGATAAACCTATGATGCTTATTTTAAAAGATATAGAAGCAACAGTTTTGTTGCTTTTCTATGAAAAGTTCAGAAGAGCCAGACACAGTATTACATGCCTGTAATCCCAGCAACTGGAGGCTGAGATAGGAGGCCTGATCCATAGCAACTTAGTGAGACCCTATCTCAAAATAAAATATGGAAAGGGTTGGGGATGGAGCTCAGTGGTAAAGCACTCCTGGATTCAATCCCCAGTACCAAAAAAAAAGAGTTTTGACTTGAAGTGATAGGCATTCCAAGAGTTCAATAGTGTATTAAAGAATTTCAAATTCGGGGCGAGGGTTGTGGCTCAGCAGTAGAGCGTTTGCCTAGCATGTGCAAAGCCCTGGGTTCGATMCTCAGCACCACATAAAAATAAATAAAATAAAGGTATCGTGTCCAACTACAATTAAAAAATAAATCTTTAAAAAAAAAAGAATTTCAAATTCATGCTGAGCAGGTGGAGCTCAGGTGTATAGTACTTGCATAGCATGCATGAGACCCTGGGTACCATCTCTGGCACCACCCAGACATAAAAAAGTTCAAAATCAAACTCATTATATCAGAGTGTTACTTTTTCACTCCAAAACCTGTTATTTACCATGAGTTCTCCCAGAAAAACCAGTGTGGTAGCAGTGATAAGTCATTCCTTAATTATGATTCAATTACCAGATAAGAGACTTGGAAGCTAGCATATCATAGAAGCTTATGACCTCTGTTCTACTGTGTGTGAGTGCATGCTYGGTCGTGTGTATATGTTAGGCTGGGGAACAAAAACTTTGCTTCTGAACCTTCCTTTTCTTATTTTAGAACTGGATTCTTTAAATTAACTGACCATGGACTAGAGGAGATTTCTTCATGTTGCCAGAAAGGATTTCATCCCCAAAGTAAGAATGCACTTCTGTTTTGTGTATGCAAACTGTGTAAAATAAACTGGAGCTGTACTGCAGGCAAGGAAGGTGCATGGCCCTGTCTGGGCCACATGGAAGATCTGCCTTTCATTTATCTTTCCAGATCTCTGTAATAAGAACAACATAAGATGCAATGTGGGAGGGAAACAGATTTGAATCTTATCTTTGTCTTTTAATGACTGTAGGTTTGAGGCTACTTACCCTTCCTGGGCCTCATCTTTCTTATCTGTAAAGCAAAGATAGTAATTTAAAAACATGCTTTACAGGGTTATCAAGAGAATTAAATAAAGTAGGGACTRGAGGTATAGCTTAGTAGTAGATCATGTGTTTAGCATGCATTGTTATGGGCCAGGCTCTATGGGCAATGACCAAATAAATTCTATTTTACCCTGAGACTCCATATCATGTAAGAAATGCTTTCCTATGGGAGAGCCCTGCCTCTGTACTCATTAATAGTTACCTAGCATAGTGTACTTGGCAACACAAAATAGCAATTCTTATATAATGTAAAAGTGTTCTCTTTGGTTTCCATTTTTCTTGGGCAATGTACCTTGTCAGAGACTGATTGTCTAGACTTAAGTAACCATTCTGAACTAGAGTCATTTTGATTCACTTCCCTTCTGCTTGCTTGCTGCTATGCCAACCTGGAAAATCCTGTGGGAAATACCAATGTACCCATTTCACTGTCTTGCTAACTGCCCAATCCAGCTTCTGTACCTGCTTGCTTGCAGCTATGTCAACTCAGATGTGTTTTTATGCCTTTAAATATCCTAAGCTCAGGCTTAGAGCTGTTCCTTGCTGAGACATTTATGGATCCTGTGGGGAGTAGTCACCGGCTGGTCAGCTAAATAAAGACTCTTCAATTTGGACAAAACTGGGACTTGGCGTGTTTTCTGAGTGACCTGCCACACAACAGCATAAGACCCTAAATTCAATCCCCAGAAACGCATACACAAAAGAAGTAATTTATGGTATCTAATGCAGTAGTTGGCTAATTAAATGTTAGTTTTCTTCTTTATCAATGTCAACTGCTATGGCTATACTTTGGTAAAAGATTTGAATGTAAAGGMAAAAAGCACCTAAGATAGGTAAATTAAGTATATTTGATGTGGAATTTTGCTTAAATTAGTGGGTAAGTGAAAAGTCTACATCTGAGAATTTAAATGGAGAGTATCAGCATGAACATATGGCTTTTACATTATAAACACATACCCACAYATAAACCTAATTCTACAGAAAAAGACCTTGGAACAATGTCAGCCTGATAGCAATGCATATCTCTAGCACTCAGATGGTAGTCTCTAAGTATCATTCCCACTAAAAGAATCAAAGTAACTTGTTAAAATGACTGATTTAGCCTGGGCACAAAATATACAGGAAGAGCTCAGAACTTTATTATGCAAATAGCAAAAATAGTGAACAAAGATTGCAAAGGTTGTTTCAAAATGTCTCAGGAGCCAAATTGAGAAGCTCCAAAGTCAAAAGATAGAGCTTCAATTTGTATCTCAGTAAAAAAACAAAAAACAAACAAACAAAACAACAACAACAACAAAAACTGCAGCTAGATGGGGTGGCACAGGCCTATAAACCCAGAAGCTTGGTAGGTTGAGACAAGAGGATCATGAGTTCAAAGTCAGCCTCAGCAAGGTGAGATGCTAATCAATTCAGTGAGATCCTGTCTCTAAATAAAATACAAAATAGGACTGGGGATGTGGCTCAGTGGTTGAGTGCCCCTGAGTTCAATCCCTGGTATCAAAAAAAAATTGTGGAAACTTAAATAAAAGGAAAGAATCATGCCTATACAACTGGGCATCCAGGTGATAAGGGGAAACTTCAATTTGTAGAAAAATATACAACTAATAAATGAAGAAAGAATTATTGACTTCTCTGTTTTTTTGAAGTCTCAAAAGAATTAATGGACCAATCATCAATAACTGCTAACATCATAGAGAAAACCACTCATTTATAAGCTTGCAGATGAAAAAACAAATACATCATCACTTCCAAAACTGTCTTGAGAGAGAGAGAGAGAGAGAGAGAGAGAGAGAGAGAGAGATATCAAGCCTGAATCTGATCAATCTAGATCCAACTAACAACTGGCAGAAAATAAAGGACTAGAAAAAAATGTTAAAGCATGGGAATGCAATTATCAAAACCTACATAGGACAAACACTAACTGATTTCATTAATACATAAATTTCAAGGCAGGGGGTAGGTGAGAAAGACATGGAAGGGAATCTATAGATTGAATAAGACTTACGAGATTTAACAACCAATTGTAACATGACAATATTTTATGACATTTAGGAGCTAATGCAAGTTTGAACACTGATGGGTTATCTGACATTAAAGAATTAATATCAACAAATAAAGTACTTAAACTTTAAATATACATATCAAAGATGTAGATATGAAATTATAAAACATCTTAGATTTGCTTTAAAATAATACATAATGGTAGGCTGGGGTTGTGACTCAGTGGTAGAGCACTMGCCTCACATGTGTGAGGCATGAGGTTCAATTCTCAGTACCACATATAAATAAATTAATAAAATAAAAAAAACTATTAAAAATACAGAATGGGATGAAACAGGTATGGGTACAGATGAAACAAGATAGTCATCAGCTGATAAACACTAAAGCTGAGTGCATTAATTGATATATACAAAACAATTATAAGTATTATGTCTTTCTGTATCTGTCTGACATTTAGGATAACAGCTTAAAAACAAGAAAATGACGATGGAAAAGTTCAGCAGTTTCTCATAAGGTTAAACACAGAAATACCATGTGACCCAGCAATTCTACTCCAAGTCATACATCTGAAAGAACTGAAAGCAAGGATTCAAACACATATTTGTACACTGTCCCAGCCCAGTGGTGCACTCAGGAGGCTGAGGCAGGAGGATCACAAGTTAGAGGCTACCCTTAGCAACTTATCAAGGCAACTTAGTGAGACCCTGTCTCAAAAACTAATAAGGAGAAGGTTCAATCCCAAGTACTGAAAAAACCCAAAAAACCAACATTTGTACACAATGTTCATAGCAGTGATATTCACTATAGTCAAAGAAACAATCCATGTACCTATAGATAGATGAAAGATAAACATAACTAACATAGCATATGTACACAATGAAATATTTAGCCATGAAAAAGAACTTGGGGACATTTCCACAATAACTCCAGTCCAGAGTTCTACTGATTTCTTGGCATTGCCCCCAAATCAAAGCCAGRAACAAACAGAGATTAAGAATTTGTGTGAGATTAACACCATGCTCACAGAGCCGCTGGAKGCCTACCAAATTGCCATGGAGAACCAGGATCCTCCACTACTCCCTTTAGACATCCCWGAAATCCACCRGCTTCTGGCCTCCGTTGGTCCTCTGGACCAAGAGGAGAAGCCACATTCTGAAAATACCCTTCTAGAAAGGAGTAGCTTGAGTCTTGAGGACCAAGGCACACTTGAAAATGGGACTGAATTTAGCAGTTGTTTTGGAGACCTCACTGCACTGCTGGGGGATATTCAACTTCCTGAGCTTTTCRRTTCCTTSAAAGACMTTGACCAASCTGARAGTCCCACARTAACAAAWTCCAATGACACCAGAKCCATCATGGTGAATCAGGRRCAGGAAATCACAAGTGCCTTAAAGGRTCCTAGTGATCCAGTGAGGAASAAMAAACATAAAGCCTCAGAGTCTCCTSATGGAACTCCTCAGGCCAAAATGCAGCYAAGGGACCTRGARKGTGCATTAGGAGGAGAAGTTGCTCACRGGGATRCAGAYAGYAGTAGGGCCAATGTGCACACAGCCAAGCAMTCTAWCAGCAAAKCTCAGGAAGCTGCATCCAGCAGGAACAGCAAGGCTAAGGGCCATGGGCAGGAAAAGACCAAGAGAACCAGGGAAAAAAATTCCAAGAAAGCCGAGGAGAGGAAGCAGCCAGGCAACAGAGTCCAGGCAGAAGAGAAGCCAACTGTGCCCAAACTAAAGCGGAAGAGGAACTAACCTGAGCTTTGCCAGGAGTCCTTTAAAAAGCCTCGGAGCTGTCTCRGCATGCACATGGTGGAGTCGGTGCAGGTTTTCCACGCACTGGGGAAGAAGAATGATAAGAAAACTGGACTGTCTTCCTCCCGGGCCCCAGGAAACTCAGGCAGTACCCAAGACCCCCGTCCATGCCCAGCTATGAAACCATGGCTGGCGGTTAAGGGTCCTGAGAAATCACAAGTCAAAGCCCAGAACCCAGATATCAGTGCTGAAAGGGAGGGTCCCGCTCCATCCATTTATGAGCCTCCACCACCTGGGAAGGTCAAATTGGTACCTTTGCCTTTTCTGACCCAGGAGAAACCTCCACCTCGACCAGTAATCAATAGGAGGCCACAGTCTCTGGCCTCACGGAGACCCACTGGGGCTTACCCTGCCCAGCCTGGCCCTGCTAGCTCAGCTCAACCCATGGCAGTCAACACATCCCAACCAGCTACTGCCAACCCATCTTGGATTCGTCCTGCCAAGCCAGCTCACCCCGTTTTGACTCATGCCATTCAGTCACGTGTGAGCGCTTCTACCCAGCCTAGTGTCCCTTGGTCTGCTGCTTCTGGGCCTGCACCCTACAAAACATCATCTTGTACTTCTCTTCATTGGCAACCCATTCCCAGGGTTGGGACCAAGCCCCAGTCACAACYGCCCAAGCCTCAAAACCAATATCTCCTCCAAGACTTTGCCTTACAACCAATTCCATGGAGGAAACCCAATGTTGCTGGGCAAGTAGTATCAACTCCCATCACCAAACAGCAGAGRCCAGAGCGGGAAGCCATGAAGAAGAAGGCTCAACAAGAGCGTGAGAATGCTGCCAAGTACACTGCTTTGGGGAGAGTGCAGTGTTTCATTGAGAGGGAAAGAGAGATGGAGATTTCTCGCTACTATGGCTACATAATGTAAGAGCTGCTGAGATCAGTGGTGCCACTTAGGGACCAAATAGTTTTCCACATGTATATAGATAGATACACATTTATTTATTCTCAGATGCTTTCAAAGTTTAATAAAAATGTAATATACTTCCCTAACACATAATAAAGAGGCCTTCTGGTACCACTGAGAATTGTTAGAAAATAAAGAGGCCTTTGGGTACTTCATGGGTACCAAATAGTGTTGCACATATACACATAGATAGAGAGATACAAATTCATTCATTTAGACACAGTTCAAAATGTAATATAGTTGAATACAGAAATGCTATAAGATTGATTAATAGGTAAATAATAGAGAGACTTTATGGTATCATTTGAATACCAAATAGGTTTCTACATATATAGAGTTACATAGATACAAAGTTATACACTGATACATTTTGAAGTGTTAAGATAGTTGAATAAAGATATGTAATAGAATAGTTTGAGAGATAAATAATAAAGAGACTTTTTATATGCTTGGGGATTACATAGTTTTCTACACATATGTAGATACAAATTTTTATAAATATGTAGATATGTAGGCACAAATTTATTCATTTTAATACATTTAATACAATTTAATAAAATTGAATGAAGTACTTTAGTAGAATTAGTTAATTGATAAAATAGAGTCCATGTGTTACCACTTGGCTACAAACATTTTTCCTCATAGAGGTATAAATATGTACTCATTCCAATATACTTTTAAAACTTAATAAAATTGAATAAAGAAATGTAATGGAATTGATTAATAGATAATAAACAGGACTTTTGCGTTAGAATGGCTGTTAAGTGTGGTTTTGTTTGGTAGTGGTGGGGATCACAGCCTGCATGAGAAGAAAGTTGGCCAGGAGAACAGGGGTAAAGGCTAGGAATGGGGAAAAGAGGAAAGCATATGATACAGCACTAGGAAGGCAAAAAGAAGAGAGATGTATGGGCTTACTGGAAGAATCAGGAATTGGAAAAATGGCAGACCAATAACACAATGTTTGAAACGAGGGTTAAAATGATAAAATGTCAAGCAAGTTGAAAATGATAGGAGACGGGTTCAGGTTGACCAGAAGAAATGCAAAAATCTCTAAAAAAAACTCTCATGCAGAAAGGCATAGGTCTATTGACTTACCTGAAGGCATTTTACAAAATAAGAWTCAGGACACATCTCCATCATGTTTGGGTCCCTGAAGATCCTAGCTAGGAAAGGTGGATAGAAAACACGGGGACTCTACCAGGGGAGCTGCAAGGGTTCACAGTTATCCTGAGGGCAGCTGATAACCTGGGACTTGGCCTAGTGAACTGTAGCAGCTTGAGGCCCACCCAGAACATGGCCTGGAATAAATCACCATTGACTCAACACCCATGCACCAGGGCAGCAGAGAGGCACTACTTCAATTAACATTCACACACAAGGCCAGTATCACTCGGTGACACTTTACTAATGATCTGCTCTAGGATCAAATTGTATGCAGAGAAGCAAAGCCTCAATCTGAGGCCTGTGTCCTGGAGTCCTCAGTGTTGGTAAGCCAACCTGGCCTGTCCCACAGGCAGCCAACCTGGCCTGTCCCACAGGCAGCCAACCTGGCTTTCAGAGCACCGCCTAGAGAGGTGGGGTAGAGGGTAGAGGAGAGAGATCACAATTGAAAGGGGGATACATACTGAACTGAGAGTCCTGCCAAGTCCTCCTCCATTGATTCTGGCGCGTGCTGCCTTCAGGGACTATTGCCATCAACCGAAGCTCAGGAGAAAATAAATCAGTTCTTGGCATCCATCTCAGCCCAAAGCAAGCAGAGTGCGCATGCGCAAGGAGCAGCCTGCCAATAGCTGCAGGACCCWGAAGCCCAAGGGTTGGCTGAGGTGTGCAGGCTCTGTGCGAGGTGACAATCCTGGGGCACAGCTGACACGAGAGAGGGTGAGGTATCCAGTGGGAGGATAGGAAAGAAAAGGAGTGGGGCAAGAAGATGATGGAGGCAGCACACCATGACCATCGAAAGATTAGTACTTTTATATTTTTAAATTATTTCTTAAAATAAAATGCACATAAAATTCATCATTAAAAACGTTCAGTTTAGGGGCATTAAGTACTTTCACGAGGTTTGTGTAACCATCGCCACTCTCTAATTCATAACATTTTCATAATCCCAAAAAGAAAACCTTGTCCCTGTTAGAGGTCATTCCCATTTTCAACACCCCCTGGCCCCAGCAACCATTAATCCCTCTGGTTTTTCCCTTTCTGGACATTGCATATAAAAGGAATCATACAATATGTGACCTCTTATATTTGGCTTCTTTCGCTTGGAAGACTGTTTTCAAGGATCATCCATGTTGTAAACTGTGAGTCCTTCCTCCCCAGTTAAGACTGCCTATTATCATATTGTATGGATATACTACATTTGTTTATCCATATCCCTGGTGGGCCTTGCATTGTCTTTACTTGTAATTTACATTGATTGAGAATTTTTGGCTCAAAGTTATTCTGCCCCCCATGACATTTCATAAATAATATCAATAATTTTCTCAAGGGTAAGAACTACCATTTAACTGCACATGTGGGATTTGAACTCTGGCATTCAAAATTTGAAAGTAATATATTCACATGATAGAACAGTTACAAAGATGCAAAAAGAGTACTCAATGGAAATCCACCCATTTGCTCCAATTTTCTAGCCACCATCTTCACCACTCTTCCCAAAGGAGACATCACCTTTTTCCAATTTTTGGACCCATCCAGAGATATTATTTAACCCCAAAATGTATATATCACAATTACTTGAATAATTTGTCCTACTGATTTGAAATGTCATCTTTATGACATATTAATTTCCTATGTGTATTTGCATTCTTGTTTATGGAATTTGCCTGGATTTCTTGCTTTTCATATTTACTAGGTCTCTGGGATACTTTCAATTATCTGTTTGATTTTTTTAAAAAATTCTTCTTTCTTTTTAGATGTTATCTATTATGTTCATTCACTGTGTTCCCTTTTAGTTCAGTCTTTATTTGTTTTCTACCATATCATCTAATTTCCATTTATGTTGTTGTTTTTTTCTGTTGTGGAACATAAAGTTCAAGTGGATAACTCCATAGCATTAAGTAGATGCACAATGTTGTTCAAGGATTATCCACTATCCAAATCCAAAACTTTAAACCATCTCAAAAAGAAAGCTGTATCCATGATATAATTCCCCATTCCCCTCTCATGGCCTACTGTCTCTTAGCTAGTTTTGAGAGTGGGCTACCCTCTGATATGCTTGGTGGGTTCTTTTCTGACTTGTTTTCATTGTCTGAGAGGATGCTATTCTCCTTTTTGTTAGAATTACTTTATATGGCATTTGGTTTCCTTCTTTTCTTGCTATGCATTTTTATGCAAAATTCATTTTCCTTGTAAAAGTACGGTTGAGGATAGTTTCTTATGTGATGGAACAGCAACTTCCACCTCTCCTTCCTCCACCTCTTCTTCTCCCCTCTACTTCTGCCCTCCCCATTCTCCCTCTGCTCTCCTTCTCCTCCTCCTTGAAGTATTAAAAACTGGTGGCTTGGTTTCTAAGATTTTATAGTTGTTACTCACATGGAGGTTTATCTTTGTGTTTATTGTTCCTCCCAGAAATTTCCTAACACAATGTAAATGCTATGTAAATAGCTGTTGTACCATATTGATTATACATCCTATAGAACCTATTGTAGGGGATCTACTGCACTCACTTTGGGGTTGGCCAGAACCCCTTTCAGTTTCATCTGCTCTTCTCCTGCTGGCCCAGAGTGCTTTGCAGGAATGCCTGCTAGAGCTTTGAAAGCCTCCTGTCTCCCATTTCCTCTGGTGCAAATGCTGCTGCCAGGGAGGTCTGGTGCCTCCTGCTGGTGGTTTGCCCTATCCTCTTGTTCTGAGGTTCCTAGAGAAAACTGTGTTCTCTATTTTTGTGGTAAATGCTACTCCAGGGTTTGGCATTCTTTCATCTATTTCCATGGCCTCTAGGCCAAATGTGTCTCTTTTTCTTTTCTTTGTTTTGGGAGACTCCAAACTGCACTGCTGCTTGCATCTTTCTGACATCTTGATGGATAACAATTATTTTTAATTGAGGAAATTGCAGGTTTCAGTTCCTTAAGCAGAGCTCCATTTTCCCCAAACTATTAAGACTCTAGGGCACACTGTGAGTCCCCTGTAACTACCATGGCACCTGGTGTCTTTGCTTGCTATGTTGGTGTTTGAGTGAGAAGCAATCTCAAGGTTCATGGGGGAGGGACATCTGGCCACAGGAAGAGGGAGTAGTCTGCGGGACAGGTGGAGAATGGGGATATGGCCTCTACTCCAATGTGTGTTTTTCTTTTCTTTGAAACTACTTTCTAAACATGTATGAAAAGGAATCTCCAATTTGTTCTCCTTCAACTGGTGGAGTGAAATCAGGGACGGTGATCTGATCTGTGCAAAATTTCCTTTAATTAATGTCATCTTTCCAGTTGCCCAGACCACAATCCTTTGACATCCTATGACTCCTTTCTCTCTCTCTCAATCGTACACTTGGAATTTTAGTAAATTTCATCTGCCCTCTCTTCACATCACATCTAGAACCTATCCACGTCTAACTCCATTCCTCCATTTCTGCTSTAGCATAATCCCTAACCATTTACTACCTTTCTCTACCCATGATAGGGGACACACACATTTTCCATAAAAAGATGGATATGTAGTAAATACATAACTGTCTGTGAGCAAGATTGTCTCTGTCTCCACAGCTCCACTCTGCACTTGTAGCATGAATGTGGCCATGGAAAACAGGAGAACACATGGACATTTGGCTGTTTTAATAAAACTTTATTCAAAAAACAGGCTGTACTGCATCACAGACTCTGGCTCTGCCTGTCTACTGCTATGCTCCCCAGACCTCCTGAGCCCACTTGCTGTTCCAAGCCTAAAAAACACTCCTCACCTCCTTCAAGCCTCTTCTCAAATTGTACCTTTCCAAGAGTGTCGGACTACAGTCTTTGAAACTGCAATCA